AAAGCACACTTGTTTGTTTTCACTCTGATAGCTATCTTTTTAATTTTACAGTGACATGGAACATTCAAGCCTGATCCTCTAAAATGTATCAGTAGGTGTTTTTAATAATTTTCAATAGCTTGCTCTGCATTTTTTCCCCGGTAGCAAAAATTGGGCTAATACATACTGTGGAGAAGGGCATTTTTAAAAACTGCATTAATGTCTATTTTCCGTAGATGCCATTTTTGCTCAGTCTGTTTCCTATTGTTAAATCATGAACACTGATCTTAATTGAGTGAATTGTGGCCTGCAGTTCTTTACATTTTTTGGGGGGGTTCTCTTGTGACCTCCTGGATGAGTCGTCAATGTGGTTGTGGAGTAATTTAGGTACACTGGCCAATTCAGACGTGCTGGAGGACCTGGTGAGCATTTACAGGGGATCAACATTCGTTTTAAAAGTTTCACTGTTACTTTTGCCTGCAATACTGTATGTGTCTACAGGCAGGTCTCAAAGTATTACTTGATTTTATATGCAAAATCCTTTTAGCGGCTGTATTTCACAGCCAGCTTAAGCAGGCAACAATCTCAACTTTTCTTATTAAAAAAAAGAACCTTTAGAAAATGTCTTACTCACATAAATGTTACATAAACAATAGATTTATTGAGTTATTTGCACATAATATTATTTAATAATTTCTAAAGAACCAATTTAATCCTCATTATTTTGTTTCATGGACAAACTGTGATACTGCTGGAGAAGTAGAAAATAGACCAATTAAATATCAGCCTGCATCTGACTTTGGTGATAAAGCAAATGCCATTTGTAACCATGGGTTATTAAGACAATGTTAACTCTAATAGACAATGTTTTGATGCATGCTCAATCATCCAGATATCAGCCAGAAATCTCAGAAAGTTTATTATGTTCATCTGGATGTACTGGATCTACTAAATAATTTTTAGAGAATTTTAGAGGATTATGTTTTTAACTCTGTATGGATACCTGTCTTCAGTGACATTAGAGTGTAACACTGGATACAAAATGAATGGAACCACTATTTTCATGTGTGAGGTAAATGGTCAGTGGTCACCTTGGCTTCCTACATGCATACCTAAACACAAGTTAAAATAATTATTTGCATGTACTGAACTCATTCGAATCGTGATCTCTATGCTTGAAGTGCAACTTCACATCCAATTCTTAGCCTAACTCCTCCTGCTGCATATTTCTGAATGCTAAAAAGCAGCAGGAGGAAGACTAAGGGTTCCTGGCCAGCACAAAGATGAATGGAGAGTAATGCTGAATGTCATTTTACCTCTACTCCGAGGTTTCTTTTGAAGTAGATGATTTTTCCATTGCAATATTTCATCATATGCTAGAAAAACATGTTGGTTGCAAGTTGTAATAATTCAAGCTTTTGACTAACTGCTCAAAGCTGGAGCTCGCAGGCTTGTGCTTCCTTTCTGTCTGTCATTCATTTAATTCATGGACCATGGAAGCTAATTCTTAAATTCTTGCTTTATTTGTTTAATTGTATCATTATATTTCAATAATGTAAAGAAATTATTCAATTATTTACCACACACTGAAACGATTAAAAAGAGATGATTATCTTTACCCTATAACCACAAATAAACATTCAAATTTTTTAACGCTCCCAATTCTAAATCAATAACATAAGTAAATTTGATATTATGCATGAACTGTTTCTGTTGGTGCCTCTCGCCCTAAGACAGCTGTGATCGGCTCCTGCCTTTCTTTGGTCTTTCACACATTGAGCTGCAGATGATTCTGCTGGCACCACATGACAAAGGAGTCAACCACAGCTCGGTACCTGGCTTCATCATCCTCAGGGATGCATCCAACCGCCACAGAGACATCAGAAAACTTCTGAAGATGGCGGTCTGTGTGTAGGGGCTGAGGTCTGTGGTGCAGATGGTGAAGAGGAAAGAGTTAGAGGATGGTCCCTTGCGGTCCCCCTGTGTTGCTGATCACCTTGACAATGTTGAAGATGCACATATTGGGGTCTACCTATCAGGTAATAAACAATCCAGGACACAAGATTCTGGAGTCCCACACAAATCCCACACAAGTTGTGTGGCACAGGCTTTGAGGACATGGAGAGTCACCCTGTCTGGTCCAGCAGACTTGCCTGAGAACATCTTCTGACTTGTCTCTGAATCTGGTCATGAGTGAAAGTAACAGTTTGGGGAGGGGTTTCAATACTTTACCAGGAGGCTGTGTTGCAATGTGGAGAGAGAGTGGCTTTGCTGTGGATTGCAGGCTGACTACAGGTAAGTCAGTAGGGGGGTGAAAATTTATTGCAATCTCAAATCTGTTGAAAAACACATTCAACTT